ATATATATGTTCTTCTGGCTGTAGTAATGCACTGTAAAGCTATTTCACAGTGCAAAATGATGAAACCAGCCCAAATGAAGGCTGCATTAATAACAATTCTGGTACAAGAAAATATTTACAGAGTGACTGGAACATGTAACAGTAGCTTTTTATTTGCTAGAGTGGACATAGCCCCAGTTTAAAGACAGGGATGCAACTGTGCTTTGTTGCCTGGGGCTTCAGACAGTTTGTGAGGTTGGGCATTTGCTGCAGAACTAACATTCTGGCTCCCGTTCTGGAAGCTTTCTCCATTTATTTGGTCAGGTGACTGTGGTGGTGTGGAAAGAAGGGGCCTCGCAGTAGAAGCCAAAGTACTGGAAGAACTGCCTGTCTCCGACTGAAAAGCCAAGAGTGTCTCGGTCATGGATGTTTCTAACATGCCAGGATTCTCCAGCTGGGGGTCCCCGGTTTCTCCCCTGCTGAGATCAGAGGCACTGGTGCGCAAACGTTCCCTGGCGAGCCAGTCTGAGATTGAGAGGTCCTGGGCTGAGCATTTGGGTTTTAACCGATTCACAGCTGAAAGTTCAGATTCTCTCTCCACACTCTGCTCGTGCACTTTCCAAAAATTCAGAACACTGATTTCAGTAGCATCTCTATGGCCACCTAGTGTGTGTCTGCGTTTGATGTTTTTCCGTTTGGAAGTCTCAGCGTTCGTCTTTTGATTTCCTACTCCAAACATATCATCTGCAGGTGCTCTGGATCTCAGTTTTAACCGATCTGCTATTTTTGTTTTCCAAGTGGGTTCCTGTTTTTCTGATTCACTTCTGGTGGGTGTTAAACTCCCAGTTGATTTTCCTTTTTTCATTACATCAAACACTTTAGTTATGGAAGGTGTTTCTTTCTCGTTCTTGGTATCTCCTAGACTTCCACTGTCTGACTTGAATCGAGCAGATTTTTTTCTGGAGAGTGTATCACACTCAATAAGCTTATGTGAACTAAAGAGCTGTCTCCGGCTGTCTAAACTTGGTGTTAAACTTCCCTCAGTACAACTTACTTCGCTTCCTTCAGAATTTCTCCTGCTTGTCTTAGTAACTTCTTGTTGTTTTCCTCGGAAAAGCCTCTCTGAAGTCAAAGCTGTGGGGAAAACAGGAAACTCGTTCTCACTGTCCGTTTCCACGGGTCGCCCTTCACTGACCAGCTCGCTTCTCTCGTCGTCGGCCTCATCGCCCTTGCTTTCTGCCATGGACTGCACCTCGGGGCTCAGGCGGCTGGAGTCCAGGCTGGTCAAGTACATAGTAGATGACGTGGTAGAATAATCTGAGGTGATGGTGCTGACTTTGGCCAAAAACTCACTATGTTTGGTTTCTGGACTGGTTGACTTCTTGGTGGAAAACCTTGCCAGAGAAGCCTGGGAAGACGTGCTAAGCAAAGTGCCAGAGTCAGACCCTGTCTCTTCAAAATGGGAGGGCTTTTGTGTCGAACACGATTTGGGGCTCTCTTGCAGTATGGCAGAGCGACAGCTGAGAGTTGGCGACTTGTGTTTGGAATGGTGCGGTGGCAGGGGTTCCTCAGGTGGTGTATTTTCTTTTCGTAGCGAGATCTTCCCATCTTTTGTTGCGCCGTGATCTTTCTTAGCGCTGGTTTCTTTGGCAATAATAATCCTCTGTTTTCTGCCTGATGTTTCACTTTCTTTTCTGGACTCTTCTTTAACCTCATTATGACACTGTTCCACATTTTCCTTTTTAAAAAATACACTGTCCAATTCATCTTCCGAACTGCTAGGTTGTGCCTTTTCTTTTGGCTTTTTCCTCTTGCGACTAGCGGCTGCAAAGATGGAAGACACAAGCAGTTCCCTGCTGTACTGATCCTTTCCAGATCCCCAAGAACCCTGGGAAGCAACCAGAGAAATGAGACTTTGAACACAAGAATATTATTGAGTTCGTTTTCTGGAAACTCTAAATCTTACTCAACTAAGCCTACTAATGCTCTAGCAGCACAAACACTGAGTGATTGTTTTTTTAGATCTCCTTTTACCTTGTACCAAACACAAATTGTTTTTCAGTTAGTCCCCTTTTCTGTCTGGTGGTATTTACTTGCCAAATCAAAGCTCACATGTGTCTGTCTTTGAGTAAGCTATTTTGTGCTCAGTGTCCCCTCGCTATCCTGATTCTTATTAATTTCCCAGAACCTTATGAATTTCTCCACTTCCACAATGTTCATTCTTTAGTTTTGTCCATCTAAAAGTTAAACAAGGGGGACCAGCAGATGGTGTAATGGTTATGTCACTGGACTCCCACGTAGTTGACCATGGTTTGGGTCCCAGACCTGGTGATTTAAAACTTATGCTGGGCACAAGTGTATGCCATGGCTATTCCCCTCAGGGGGTGATTTCTTGCTTTCTGTCTCTCTGGCAAACACACATGCCCTATAGCAAAAATCTCTTTCAAAAAAACACAACACAACAGAACAAAAAGGGGGTTTAACAGGGGTACGGTGGTTAAGGCACTGGACTCCCACATGGACTCGGTGGCTTGCTCTCTCACTTTCCTTGTTTCTCTGGTGAGCACATGTGCCCTACAGAAAACTTTAAATCCCAAGAGGAGAATGGAGGAGAAGGGATTACATGTGGCCATTCCCCCTGGGAGATGATTTCTCACTTTCCTTTCTCTCTGGGGGGGGTAGTGGGTGGTGGGCACACTTGCCCTGTGGCAAGAACAAATCTTAAAAAAATAATAAAGTTAAACAAGGGCCAGCTCATGATGTGGTGGTTAAGGCAGCTGGATCCCACATGCCTGACTACATAGTTTTAGTACCAGACCCAGCAGTTTGAAAAACATGTGCATGTATGGCCAAAATTCCAAGAGGAGGGTGAGATAGAGGAGAAGGAATTGCAGTGTGACCATCCCCCATGGGGGATGCTTTCTCACTTTCTCTCTGTATCCAATGAGCATGTGCACCCTCTGGCAAATAAAAAATAAATAAACGTTATTTGACATATTTGAATGTAATATCTGACATAAATTATTAAAATATTATGATTGATTCCACTTTTCTAACACCATATGATGCAGATATTATATTGTATAAACTTAATAAGGTAAACCCTGGTCTTCCATTATTAGTTTAGCCAGGCTGGATCTTCAGAGGTCTGCCTTACATGAATCAAGTTGGGAATATGTTGATTTATCTCAGGGTAACAACAGAAGTATTAGGTTGTAAGGAAAGTCATGATGTATTTTTCTGTTTTTCTATACAAAAATGTGTCATAATTTTCCCAACAACCCAAAAGAAAAATTAAATACATAACAAAAGTTCAATGAAAAGATCTTAAAATTCTTGCCACACAAACGCTTCAGCAAACTGCTACTGGTAAATCTGATCACTATATGTAAATAGGTTAATTGTAACTGTTATTTACAATGTCTATATGCTAAGTCAATGGCATGTCAAGGAGAGATGTCAATAAGTAGCTGTCGGTTTACCACACACGGAGGACAGCAGGCCCGCTGTAACTATGCTAAGTGATGCTAACTGATGGAAGCAGAAAATATATTTCTTTACTGTTATAAAATCTCACACAAGCTGACACTGCTATTTCAAAGTTTCAAGAAATAAATTTATGGAGGATTTTTATAATTATCCAGTATATTTATAATAGCCATTCAAATTTTTCCCAAAGACTCTAAAGCATAATGGTTGTAACCGGGCTCTGAATTAGATGACCAACCGTTCTGTCTTCTAGCTTGCTGTATGTGACACTAAGCAAGTGATACACTTTTAAAGATCTCCATTGAAACAATTAGATTATTATCTTCAAGATTTCCTTAAGGTTCTCTTAATTTTAAAAATTCTAAAAATTTTATAATCTTGTGGTCCTTTACAAGGGGACTTCAAAATGTCCATAAAACATAGAATTAAAGTATGAGTTCATTTTGGTGAGAAGAAATATTGAAACCCATGCAGTTTTTCACAATACACATTTTCCATGAACTTTTGAAAACCCCTTGTAGGACTTGAAGCAAATTACTCTCTACTTTTCTATGACCACTGAGAAACTGTTAGAATAGTTTACCATTTGGAAATCCACACTTTACAGGCATGGCACAGCATACATAATTAGGATAAGGAGAAGGAAGGTATGAAACATGCATTGAGTGAGGGGAGGCAGGGATTTCAAACACATCTATCAATTTAAAATCCTATCTTTTGGCAAAAAAGGTCAGGAAACTGTTCTCATAGATTAAACAAGTCTAAAGAGACATGACAACTAATGCAACAAATGGTTCTTTTTTTTTTTTTGGAGAGGTTTTTGCTATAGGGCGTGTGCGCTCACCAGACAGAGAGAGACAGAGAGACAGAAAGTGAGAAATCACCCCCAGGGGGGATGGCCACGCTGCAATCCCTTCTCCTCCATTCTCCTCTTGGGATCTTGGGCATGCACGCACACGCGCCCGGCCTGAGTTTAAGCCACCGGGTCTGGGACTTGAACTGCGGTCGACTATGTGGGAGTCCAGCGACATAGCCATTACGCTAACTGCTGATCCCTGCAACAAATGGTTCCTGATTGTACCCTGTATAAGTAAATAAAAACCATTATTGGGACAACTGGAGAAATTTGAGTCAAAATGGCATATTAGTACAACGTACTGTACTTGTTTCTTTAGTCTGATAATTACACTTTGATTACTCAGAATGTCTGTTCTCAGATAATAATATGATAAAGTATTTGATTCAGGAAAAAAGTATGTGTATAAAAATGGGGAGGTCTTCAAAAAGTTCACGGACAATACATATATGATTTAAAAAATATGTGGATTTAAAAAAATTTTACATCAAAATAAACTCAAATTGAGACCAGCAGTTAGCGTAATGGCTATGTCGCTGAACTCCCATGTAGTTGACTGCAGTTCGAGTCCCTGACCCAGTGGCTTAAACTCGTGCTGGGCGCATGTGCATGCATGCCCAAGATCCCAAGAGGAGAACAGAGGAGAAGGGATTGCAGCGTGGCCATCCCCCCCGGGGGGGGGGTGATTTCTCGCTTTCTGTCTCTCTGTCTCTGTTTTTCTGGCGAGCGCATGCGTCCTATAGCAAAAACCTTTCCAAAAAAAAAAAAAATAAATAAACAAACTCAATTTAATTCAATTTTTCCAAACTTTCTAAAGTGCCACATGTGTATTAGAGTTTACCAACTATTATACCTAGGGTACCTAGAGTATCTGACTGTCATTAGTCTAATAAGTTTTCTGTGGCTTAAAATTTTGAAAATTGTAAGTGACATAATAAAATTAAAACATCTAAAAAATTTGTACAAGAATTACAGTGTTATCATTTATAATTCTATTGTGATATGTAAGCATGCCATGTAGAATTCATGTCTCATTGTTTTATTTCTGAGGAATTTTTGTTATAGGGAATGTGTGCTTGCCAGAGAGACAGACACCCCCAAAGGAGGGAATGGCCACACCACAATCCAATTCTCCTCTCAGGATTTTGGACACACATGTACAAGCACCCAGTGTGAGTTTCAAGCCACCGGGTACAGGACTTGAACTGCGGTTGGCCATGTAGGAGTCCAACACCTTAACTGCTATGCCATCTGCTGGTCCCTCATATTTCATTATAAACTATAACAGTGCTTCAAGTCTGTTGATCCTTCCAGTTGCTATTGTCTCAGCAGAGTGAAGTCTAGATAAACTGATTTCAATAAACATTCTGAGAACTAAAAGAACTTCTTGCTCAAAAACTTGTAATTTGGTGTTGCTGTCAATGAACACAAATTAAAGTAAAAATACAAATTATAAAAACAAAATTAATGGCCAGCAGGTGGTGTGGAAGTTAAGGTGGATTTTGGCTTGAGTCCTGGACCTGGTGGCTTGAAAACATGCCAGGTCTGCATGCATGCCCAAAATCCCGAGAGAAGGGATTGTGGTGTGGCCATCCCCCCTGGAGGAGCGCTTTTTATTTATTTATTTTTTTAAAAATATTTATTTATTTATTATTATTATTGTTAATATTATTTTTCACATGAGTTTTGCCAGAGAAAGAGAGGGAGAAGGAGAGTGAGAAAGCAAGCTGCCAGGTTTGGAACTCAAACCATGGTCAGCCATGTGGGAATTCCAACACCTTAACCACCATGTCACCTGCTGGCCCCGGAGGAGCACTTTTTAAATTTCTCTTTCTCTCTCTTTCTCGCTCTCTGGCAAATGCATGTGCCCTATAGCAAGAAAAAAAAAAGTTTTTGCTAAAAGAAATGCAAGAATATATATTTTCCCTAAAAATGTAATGATAACGAAAGTCTGTAATACTATTGAAATATTTCCAGACAAATGTTATGACGTCTAGGAGTGAGTTGAACACAGTCCCAGGGGAGTAAAGTAGGTGAGTGAAGCACAAATGAGATTAGCTGTGTGCTGAGAATTGGGGAAGACAGATAACGGGTGCACACAGGCTCATTACACTATTCTTGCCATTTTTATTACTGTTAGAAAATTTCTACATTAGGAAAAAAAAGCCTAGTTCTTTGTATTATGCCAAACTTAGCAACAAGAAACTTATTCTAATGCATAATCTGGTATTCTATCATATTCTATTTTAAGACTTTTCCCATTTATCAGACTTTCTATCTCTGTCTCATCAGACATAGACAGGAACATATTTGTATATTAATCATATCAATCAGCTGAACAGCAATCCCCCCTAAAATGTGTCCAAATTGTATGGAAGAATTTACCTTAGATTTTGTGGAGTCACTAGTAGCTGAGTCTGTCAAAAGGTAAATAAAACATGGTCAGTATTGGTTAGTCTCTACTGTCTTTGACAAACAATGCAAAACTTATGGAAAAGACAGGCACAGAACAAAATGAGAAAGCAAAACTCGAAACAATAGAACACAGTGGATAGTCAGAGCTCACAAAGATGCAAGCTGCACCACAGAAAGCCACCGCCATGAAAGGATGCTGTGAATTGTAGGCAGAACCAGCTCAATGATAGGAATGGCAAAGGAGCCCTGTACTAAACAAAAACAGAAATACTAGTGTTTGTTACGTTTTCTAGATGTTAGATCTAGCAATAAAGAAGCTTAAAGACCTTTTAAGAATCGTATTATGTACCACATCCTGTATCTGAAACTAATAGATACACAATGTAGAACTTTTAAGATTGTTGGCTGCCCTCACTACAAATCAAGACACTTATACTGGTGTATTTATGTGGATTTTTGTCAGACTTAAATTTTGCGAGCACATATTGGATGCATATGGGTGCAAAAGAGGCATGAGGATAACCCTGCTTCCAGGTCACTTTGGTTTTGGATTAAATAATGCTGATCTTTGCACTTCAGACCCCAGTTTCAGGTCAGCGCACTCAGGGGTCCTTTCAGCTAGTTTGGGTTAAACTGCTACCAGTTTTGTAAATATCTATTAACAAATGCTATTATGGAAATGGAAAAATGGAGACCATAATTTTACTGTCTGGCAAAAACTCAGATTATACAATTACAAAGAGGGTAGGAAGGGGCTAGCGCTATTGAGGATAATACCAATTTCGAAATTTTCTCTTTCAACTTTAGGGAAATTGAGTTTCAAAATTAATGAGCTGAGCCCCGTGCCACGCCCCTTTTAACACATGGCTAAATGCTTTATGACTTTAAGAACTGGTAGACCATACCATGCTATTTCTCCTCAGGGTCTGCTTCAGAAATAACAAGAAACAGCAGAGAAACTTTTAAGAAAGTAGTAGTGATCTGTTTACAATAATCTTAAGAGAAACGTTACACCACAGATCAACTCTGTTTGCATTTACAAGAAACGAGGATTTCTGCAGACAAGGCAGCTACAGTGTGGACAACAATCCTCCTTCTTCCTACAGTTCCAGCTGTCCATCAGGGACATCACAGAATCCACTAGTGACATTACCGTGTGATAGACTCCTCCCACTTCGCCTGTTCAACATCAGTATAGATTTGCCTGTGTCAGTAAGTGCTGAAAAAACCCTTTAGGACTAAAACAAGAACTAGAGACAAAGGGAGAACATCGTGTAAAACAACATGCTAGATTAGTGCAACAGTTTGGCAGGTGAAAACTTTTATCAAAAGAGCCTATGAAAACTATTATTAACCGAGCATTAGGGTGGCATTAAGGAAAAAGAAAATAAATGTCAGAGAGATTGGCTTTAACTGTGACATCTATAGTGACAAATTATACACTGTAGTTAGGAAAATGGTGCCCATTAGCAGTTCAACACATTAACTTGCTGCTTTTAAACAGAACTTCTAGCTCAAAAATAAGAACTACTTATATACTTTCTGCCATCACAGCAACCACATATTCAGTAGCATATATCTGTTTTACCTTGTGATGACTATTACATGGAAACTGTGAATTAAAAACAAAAACAAAAACAAAAACAAAAAACAGTGGTTTGCATGCTCATTTCCCTCAGATTTCCATTCTGACAAACATTACAACTCCATGCACTGCCAATGGCATTATAGTCACTGGAAGATAATTAAGATCAATCAGAAAAGGAAGATTAAGGTTTTTATTAGTAGAAAGGAAAAAAAAAAAAGAAGAAAAAAAATTGTAGTGAATTGTTACTTATGATTGATTGGCTCTTTCATGTTATAAGAACGTAGCTTTGAACCTAAAGATCAGAACTGCCCAGGCAAACGTTACCTGATACATCTCCCGGGGATACGCCTGTCCTCCCAATGTTGGTGAGTAAATGATCTATGTTTGGCACTGGCTGGGACTCTACTGTGTTTTCCTCCTGCACTGTGGTCTATGGTTAATAAACAAAGATCTCTTCATCATCTCTTCACAGATACTTTCTTTAAAATTCAAACAACATTTAGTGAAAGACACATTATTGAATGGAGCACCTGGGTTTAAATCTTTTACATTGTTTACACGTCATTAATGGCAAAAATAAGCATTGTATCTGTATTTTCATTAGATCGGAAACTGAGGAGCTAGAGACCTGCTTCCGGGTGCAAAGCGGACAATAGCATATAAAGCAGGAAGTTGACGCTGTTGTAGCATCAGGATCTCGTGTCCCAAATAAGAATAACTGAGTATGAACGTTGGTGGACTATACTTACAAGAGGTTCTTCAGCACCTTCTTCTGTGAAAAACCAGTCATGCTAAAATTTAAAAAAGGTGAAAAGAGAAATTTAATAATTCCCTAAATAGAGCTGTATCTTGGAGGATAGTATAGAAAGTAGGTAATTCTCTTAGGAAAAAAAAATTGTAACCAGATTTTGCCCTACCAAATGTCAGTTCACAGAAACAATTTGCTCGAAGTGACACGGTGTGAACTTACGTGCTGGATGAGCGTTTCCACAATCTTGTACTGGTCGGGCATGTGAGTAACCATGTGGGTCATGTTGTCTTCAGATGTCCGCACCAGAGTAGGACCAAAAACTATTGCCAAATTTCTTGGTTCCATCTGAAAGAAACAATAATATGGGAAACTGTTAGAACTGGGACCTGCAGATGGTGTAACAGTTACGTTGCTGGACTCCCACGTAGTCAACTTTGGTTCAAGTCCTGGACCCGGGTGTGTATGTGCGCCCAAGATCCCAAGAGGAGAATAGAGGAGAAAGAATTGTGGCATGGCCATTCCTCCTGGGGGATGATTTCTTGTTTTCTGTCTCTCCGGTGAACACACTAACCCTATAGCAAAAAAGGTTATTATAAAAATCTCTTTTTTCAAAAAAGAAACTTTTCTGAAGAAAATAGTTTAAATTCTCATTGTAGATTTAATTTTTCACATTGTATAAATTTTTTTTTTTTTTTTTTTTTTTTACAGAAAACAAACTGGATGACTGTGGGTAAACAGTAATGCTTTCTATTGGGTCATCAGAAAAGTCATGACTTTAGGGACCAGCAGTTAGTGTAATGGCTATGTCGCTGAACTCCCATGTAGTCAACTGCGGTTTGAGCTCCAGACCCAGCAGCTTAAATTCACTCCGGGCACGTGTGTGTGCATGCCCAAGATCCTGAGAGGAGAATGGAGGAGAAGGGATTGAGACATGACCATCCCTCCCGGGGGTAGATTTCTCACTTTCTGTTGCTGTCTTTCTGGCGAGCGTATGCGCCCTATAGCAAAAACTTCTAGAAAAAAAAAAAGAAAGAAAAAAGTCACTTTATTATTATTTTTTTTCCACATAGACAACCACAGAAAAACATGACATGACCTGTCTGACTACCCAACAGTTAAGATTTTCTTAAGTGTGGGGACTGGCAGTTGGCGTAACGGCTCCGTCACTTGACTCCCATGTAGCTGACCGCGGTTTGAGTCCCAGACCCAATGGCTTAAATTCACGCCAAGCATGTGTGCATGCGTGCCCAAGATCTGAAGAGAATGGAGGAGAAGAGATTGCAGCATGGCCATCCCTCTTGGGGGTGATTTCTTGCTTCCTGTCTCTCTCTTTCTGGTGAGTACACATGCCCTATAGCAAAAACAAAACAACACCAAACACCACCTCTCCAAAATAAATAAATAATTTTCTCAAGTAAATCTTTACATAATTACTTTCCTCTGCTATAATGAAAATATGCAATGCCTAATTAGCATTCACTTTTCCCAATATGTCCGTGATTGAAAATAATTGATTTGGTTCAAAACTAGTATTGCCAGAGCTGGATTAACTGACAAAAATTAGTAAAACCCCTTCCTCTCAAGAACTGAAAAATAGAAAAAAACACAGATAAATAAGAGATTACAGATTTGCCTCTGTTGTATATCAAAATTACTACCATATGGGGCAAGCCATGGTGGTGCAATGAGAACTCCATCATGCTGGATCCATTTGAAAGATTGAGGCTGGGCCCTCCTGTACATGCTGGGCATACACATGTGTGCTTACATGCAAACATGCTCAAGAAATGTAGAATTTACAGTGAACAAACAAACATTACACTCTGTGTGTGTGTGTGTGTACACATGTTCATGATATAAACTGGCTGGCAGAGAAGGTGGAGGGAAGACTGTAGCTTGAGACCATGTCCAAGGTGTCCCGCTGTGGAAGAAAGAAACTAAAAATAATTACTAATATGTGAAAACCTAAGATCTGGAACCATTCTTTTTTGACCAATTTTACTTCAACCAAGTGCTCTGAAACTCGTTATTTATCTTTGCTCCAATCTGAATGCCTCAATGTTATGTACTTATTTATGTGTTTGTACATTCATTTCTATGATATTCTGCATTTTTTTTTCTTTTTGAGAGATTTTTGCCATAGGGCATGAACACCTGCTGGAGAGTCAGAGAGAGAGAGAACGCCAAGAAATTCCCCCACCCCTGGGGGGATTGCCATGCTGTAATTCCTTTTCCTTTCTGCTCCTGGGATTTGGGACACACATGCACAGGTGCCTGGTACAAGTTTCAAGCCACTGAATCTGGGACTTGAACCATGGTTGACCATGTGGGAGTCCAGCACCTTAACCACTACATCACCTGCTGGACCCAATGTTCATGATATTCTGTATTTTTTTTTTTCAAGGCTTATTTCTTCCATGAGACAGGAAAAAAAATCAAAAACCCCCCAAAGGGTCCTCATGCCTACCTAGCCCTAGGCAGCCCAGATTATAGGCAGGTATGTGTAGATGCCTGGATATGCAAAGGGAGGTCTCAGGATGAGAACTGAGGACCTTTCCATATAGGTTCAGTTGTGCAACCACCACACTGCAGTCTGGTCCTGGCACTCTTTAAATAACAGACTCTAAAAGGTATAGTTTATTTTGTTTTCCTTTATCATATCTTATAGTGTCTGGTGTAATACTTTGAATCTAGGATTTTATTACAGTGCTTTTTTTTTTTTTTTTTTTTTCTATAGGGGGCGTGCCCCCCCCAGAAAAACACATAGGGCGCGTGCACTCGCCAGAAAGACAGAGAGATAGTGACAAATCACCCCCCAGGGAGGATGGCCACACTGCAATCCCTTTTCCTCCATTCTCCTCTTGGAATCTCGGGCATGCACGCACATGCGCCTGGCATGAGTTTCAGCTACCAGGTCCGGGACTCGAACCACATCAGCTACATGGGAGCTCAGCGACATAGCCATTATGCTAACTGTTGGCCTCTATGATGCTTATTTTGAATACCAAGAGATTAAATAATATGCCAAGAGATGAAAAAAACATGTAGAGACCATACTACTGGACTTTTTTGTTGTTGTTAGAGAAAGCAACATACAAAAGAAAGGGCATGTAGAGAGAAAGCATCCTTGATATGGGTCCTGTCATGCTGCAACCCCAACTTTCCCAACTTCTCAGGATCCTGGATATGTACATGTACACCAGGCATATTTTTCAGGCTGACCCAGGAACAGAACCACAGTTGTCATATGGCTTCCAGCTCCGCAGGGTGCTAGCACTATTGCTGTGCCACGATGGCTAGGTCTACTAGATGAATTTATACACCTTTCAGGTATAGTACGAAACAGAAAACCTACAGCTCTCCTCCGTTTTGAAGCAATCATTATGTATCTAATATGTTAACTAGCATAAAGTGAGCATTATTATACCATACTCATTGTAGAGAAATAAGGAGAAATTTTGATTGGAGATAGTATTTCCCTGTAAATTTGACTTAGTAGAAAGAAAACATGGGTGTATGGGAAAGAATCATTGAAACTGGACACAGAGGTGTGCTTCTTTCTGCTCTGCCTCTAAGTCTTACACTTGTGCAGGCAATAGTGGTTTAAAAAGACCAGAAATCCACTATCTCAAAGGTTCTTAAAGTTCGCATGATTTCATTTAGGCTTTTAGAGTAATAATGAATATATCTATGGGTACTTGTGTGTGTGTGTGTGTGTGTGTGTGTGTGCGCACACACACACACACACACACGAAATAATATTTATTCCTATGTAAAGCTGGTTTCTATATAAAACTAATAAAATAAGTAGCCCAGAATTTATTCATTATAATCTTAAAATAAATTCTTTATTTCTTGAAAAATGTTCCACAATAGGTGGTCAAAAAAAATCTAGGAAAGAAAATACTATATGGCCACCTTCAAAAGTTAGTGTTGGGTCAGCAGGTGGTGTGGTGGTTAACGGTGCTAGATTCCCATAGGGCCAACCACAGTTCGAGTCCTGGTCCTGGTAGTTTGCTTTTTCACTTTTCCTTTCTCTCTCTCCAGTCAAATTAAAAAATACTAATAATGATAATGATAATAAGAATAATAAATGGAATAAATAAGTAATCCTTTAAAAAAAAAAGTCAGTGTTAATATATATACAACCCCAGAAAATTCTGTAGAAAGAAACTTGTCAAAACTTGAATTCAGTGTTTCCTAAATTAATGAGAATGTCAAATTCTATTTTCTCTGGTGGATAATGTATTTCAGGAAAAACTATATAATTAATTAGAAAACATTTCAGCTAGAGGTATATTGAACTTTTGGGCTCCTACTATAAATTAGGTTTTCTCTATTTTTTAAAAAAACCTTTTGTAGTCAATTTAGCAACTAAAGGAAATTTTAACACTACTGTAATCTTCTCACTTTGCAGAGAATAGGGGTTGACACTGTTTTTATAATCTAGCCCAATGACAACTGTGGGCTAATGTCTTCCAGAACACACATAGCCACTGAAGTGACCTGAATGAATGTGTTTTTCTCTCCACTTTAAGCAGGAATCACTCTTAGAAAAGTGTTAGCTGTATTCTTGCTCTTGTGGTATTTTTATTTTCTTCTCTAGAAACCAAAAGTCATCATTTGATATAATGGATTTAGGCAACAATCAGTGATTCAAAAAAAGAGTAAAAGAAAATGAAGACTATAATAATGCATCACCAAATATAATCTGGACACCTGTCTTGTCAGAGAGAGGAAGAAAAGGGCTTTCCATCTGGCTGGTGTGTTGTTTACTGCCCCTGCCCATGCCTGACCACCTGAATCAAGGTAGGAATACATGTGCACTCTGGCCTATATGTCAACTCAAAACCCAGACCCATGCCAGTCTTGTCAGAGAGAGGAAGGGACTTGTCATCAGCCCAGCATGGTATTCACTGCCCCACCAGCCAGAGCAAGGTTGGAGGCTGTCTGTGGCATGGCCTAGCCCACGTACTGCACACAACCTGTGCTACTACCTCATGTTCTACCTTCTGAGCTTAGCCAACAGCTACATTAGAGCTAAAGCATTTGGGAGAGGAACCAACCCCCTAAAAATACTGTGACAGTGGAGGAAAAGGAGAGAAAACACCCTTCTAAAATTCCAAATCCCAAAACTCAAAGTGTGGCTTCCAGTACCTCCACCTTCAGAACATAGAAACTGATAAGCTAAAAGACCACAGGAGAAGCACACAAGCATACAGATGCAGAAACCTATTCAAAAAATTAGGAAGAAGTGATCACTTCACCTGATTCCTAAAATAAGAGCCCCCCAAAATATGGAAAAACCAGGTAGTATCTCTCCTTCAAATACAATAACTCCCCAC